ACATAAATGTAATCTGAAAGCTTCATACAAAAGAAAAAATGTCAGAAAAATAAATTTGAACATTATGCATCATTAGAATGGTTTTGTGTTAGCAGGATTGTAACGCTCTCAAACCTGTATTTCTCTCAGTACTTCTATGACAGTTCTCTGTTGAGTACTAAAGTTTGTTTACTCCTAAAGACTGTGAAAACCATTACATACACACATACAACGCCGTGCTCGACAAGACATGCTGTTGTTGTTTTTGCTGTCCAGCTGCTGATATCGCCAAAAGTGTGTCCACTCTAAACTTAGAGCGAAGTTGTCTGGCTTTGCTGTGAACAGATTACTGTAAGTGTTTGTAACTTTTGTGGTTCAGGTCCATTAAATTCACTCCATCTGCGTCTCTCATCTCTGCAGGAGTCGGAAGATCCAGATCCGGAACATTCCCCCTCATCTACAGTGGGAGGTCAGTTGTTTGTATGTATCAGTGTGTATGTGTGTGTGTTGGTGTGTGACACTGATGCTCAGTTGAATGGCACCAGGCAGTACATAAACCAATTTCCTGCCAATGAGTCACCGGGTCTTTATAGTGCAGTAAGTGTTTGTGTGCACATGTTTACGTCGGTTGTTTGTTACCGTGTGGATGACACCGCGTCTGCATGTCAGCATCTGTAAGCTTGCGGGGGTCCGACTTGTTTGCTTTCTGTGTGAGCGTGTCTGTCTCCGTGCCCGCCAACGCTCCCGTTTCTCTTTGGGGCGTACGTCTGCGTGCTTTCCGCACGCTACAGGACAACTCACAACGCTTCGCCTGGGAATTAAAAATATCAACATCAGTAGAAAGAGAAAAGAACCAAAGGAAAAAAAAAGACTTGTTTGACAGATTGTGATAAGTTGCCAGATTCAACTTTTCTAAATTGCTTCGTTTTTCATTTTACTCACTGATAAACTTTATCTGAAATATGTCAAACTAATTTAATTCATGCATTTTGTCAAAGATTATTATTTGAACTTGAAACCAAAATCTGTTTTATAGTTAATACTGAAGGAGCTTGTGGAGCAGCTGTTGCTGAAGTGATAAACCTATCAGAAGCTTACTCCACCATGTGTCAACCTGCCCTTGAGCAAGACAAGTTTTGCTTGCGTAATAAAAGCAAAAACGATCATAGCAATGCAAAATTTTATACGGAAATACGAAGCTTTTTTGTAGAAGCCAACATTTACAGGCACAGAAAAACAAGGAACTGCTGTTTTTCAAGGTAAATGTGCTGAAAATGTTCCAAAATCACAGAAAAAGCACGTACAAAACATTCATTTATATCCGCTCCTTTTTACTGCGGGAGTTATTGTTCATTAATGTTCCAGTACGAAAGATATTCGCTCCCAAAAAGTTGGGAAGCGGCACCAAATTTCATTTGTGTGATTTCAGTTTGAACACTTTGATTAGAAACTGTGCGCGACTTTGAGCAGCGGAGTAAATGAACACGCTGCTAATTTGATTAAATAGCAAAGTGTTAATTATGGAAAATTAGAAACAGCAGACAAACAAAAACATTGGTTCGTAGAAAAAAAAAGGATAATTTGTATTTACATGTAAATTAAAACGAGTCTGTTTTAAAACATTATCATGGATTGCCCACCAGTATAAAAGCTTTCACTATTTTTTGTTTTTAAAATATTATGATAATTTAATAAAAATAACAATGTCTACAAGTAGAAAGCTAGTGCTAAAAACTGAAGGTGTAATAAAGCAGAAATCTGTTCACATTACCATGACAGTTCATGAGAAACAGATAAAAATGAATAAAATCTTTCATTTTGTAAAATATTTAACATAAATGTATTACTTCTCATTCATCATGGCAGCGTAACTGGACTTTGCCTTTTTAAAATGGCTCCAGCTAATGTCAATGTTAACTTAAATGTTTAACATTAGATCTATAAACTGTTTTAAAATGTCACAAATTATTAAATCACAATAAATATTTAGATATAATGCTAACATCTGCTTCATAAAGCAGTTTGTTTATGTGGGACTCTTCACTGAAGTAGAAATACTCTGCTGCTGATGGTGCAAGTCGAGGGTTGTGGTCGCCATCTTGCTAAGTGCTACGTGTGTTGCTCATCTTTTACACATCACTGTATGCTGTGTCAAGAGTTCAGAAACATTTAGCATTAGTCTTATTYTAATTACATAGACTTAGATCATGCATATTGTGAGGACAGGAGACAGGATTATTCTGCAATGAGCCTCCCATTAAGCATTACTGATGGCAAAACGCCGATTCGGCGCTATTCCACTGCCAGGATAAAAATTACAAAGTGCTGCAATCATTCTAAGGACACCAGTATGTAACTGCACTTTTAATAATTATGTTTTTTAAGTGTCAATTCTAATAATTATAACAATTGATAGCAAAACATTTGGCTCCTTAGCTGAGCTTTTTAAAAAAAATGATCAAGTATTTATGGTCTGTTGCCTTATTTGCTGCCAGAATTTATATTTGTCTCCATTTTAYGCTTTGACTCGCTTAAATGCAACTTGATTATTGCCTCACTCATAGCAGCAAAACTGTTGCATTGTGTGTCACTGTTGTACAGCACTGTGCAAATGTCTTTAGTCGATCATTTCTGTCCTTTATTTTGCTTTCAAGGAGCCAGGCATTCTTGTACCAGGCTTACTGAAGGGCTTTTTAGGGGCTTTTTCCACTCATTTTTAATCCAGTACCTGAACATTTTCAGAGGATTGTTTACTATTTTTGGTACTTAACTCTGACCTATGAGTCATTCAGACCCAAAGAGGCTCTTTGAGTCAATGGATGAACCAGTTCTGTGTCTACAACATGTACTTTATTATTAACAGTCTGCCACAGATGATTTATTTTAATTTCCTTATAGCTCAGTCTATGAAAAACACAAAACATAACACCATTTGACAGACAGGAAATAGTATTTTAGCGTCAACAAGATGATTCCTTAAGTGCAAACTTAGCATTAATAATCAWCTAAAGGATTATTCCTATTTCAGATCATGTTTTTGTTACATTTTTTTCCTTCTTGTTTCATAAAGACAAAATTTTCTTCAACTGTTCGTCTGCTGTAGATGTTTTTCTAAGCCTAAAGTTTCTGTTATGTCTTCCACTTGTTCACTTTGCTCATTTTTTAAGCACCTACTGCACCATATGATGTCATGGTCAAGGACTGAACAGAAAGCGGGAGGAAAAAGCAGCCAAGTATAAAAAAAGATAGAAAAGTCTGTTCATAAAAATCTCAAACAAATTATGAGAAAGTCTGACTCTGAAAGCAACAAATAAAAAAATAATCTCGGAATGCTGCTGTATTCATTCTGCTGTACATTATCTGTGTTTCTAACCTGAATTATTGTCTCTTCCTCAGGTTTTGGACGGGCTTCTAGCTCAGTATGGTACTGTAGAGAATGTGGAACAAGGTACTGAACTTGTCTTCTTCAACACGAAACATTTCATCTTCACCTGGCTTCAAATGTTCGATACATGTGTGTCCTTTTAGCATCAGACTCCCCAGTGAGTCAAGTCTCCCTGTGTGACTTCACTTCCTCATTATCGTCATCTCACACATCCATTATCTAAACATAACCCATCTTCACATGAATCAGTCTTTGTATGTAAAACTTTGACCCGGAGACATGATCGTTTGGATTAGATAGAGCCTCTAAATCAGGTCTACCGCCATGATTCCTCAGACTCGGAGTACGGATTGAAGTGGGCAGACATGGCAGACATCCAGCATAGTGTGTGTTTGATCGTTGCATCTCTTTTGGGTTGTTGCGTCGTGGTTACGGGCGGTGGCGCCGACAATGCTTGTGGTGAATTTTCTGTGCTCTCTGATTGAGTGTTCATCATTTTGCTCTCCAAACACACATGCATGCGTAGAGAGACAAACACCTAGAAATGCACACACACACACACACACTGGCGCACACTCTCATTCATTCAGTGTTTCTCTGTGTGTTAAAACGTCCAAGACCAACTACCACCCACTGTTGTCATGACAGGTGCTAAAAGAGAACCCAGCAGAGAAATTACTCCGCTCAAGAGTTTCCCAGACGCTGCTGTAAAAACAGTTGGCTTCATTGTCTACCAGACACCAGCGCCGCGTTTCTTCCTCTCCTCTCTGCGCTCAGCTGGKCTTCTCAAACATCACTAGTTACTGTGAATGACCAATATGGCCGCCCTCAACGTAAATGCGGACCCTCTTAGTTGCGGTTCCTGCCCAGCTTCCTGTCCTCCCGTCTCTTCGCTCGGCTTCAGTGCATGCACTCTGGTTATGSGGACGTGTTTTTCGGAGAAGTGCCGCGTTCGTGTGTGGCCCAAAAAAAGTTGCTTGTTGCAACCGAATGCTCAGCCCAAGCAAACTGGGGCACTCTTACTGGATTCAAACTTACTGGTTTTTAGTTTTACTCAACTATGACAGCAATACTCAAAGAATAAAAACTGGAAATACTCGTTTCTACTATCAAGTGTTTAGTATTCCTCAGTTTTTATTTATTTACTAATGGTTAAACGGATCCCCGATTAGTTGTAACATTAGACTTTATTTGACAAACATGTATTTTAACTGTAAAATAAAGACTGTAAAAATACTGTAGCTGTTTCATTTTTATAATTTTTAAACTAAAAGTTTAAAAATACTGTATATTACACGGATGGAGCCATTTTATTTACATGCAAAGCATTCTGGGTAAATGTTGACACGGATAGGTCCTCGGTGCGAGGTTGCTAGCGAGCTATATCCACCCTGAAGGTTAATCTTGGACAATATCTGATGATCGACTCTTTTAAATGAAACCAGAGAGCGTTGACAGAGAGGAGAAGGTAGAAATGACTCAGCCTGGAACTGAAAATATGGATTTGGTCACAGTATTTTCAGGGCTACCATCATATCAGTCCAGACCTGTTTCATGAGTTTTATTTTTTTGTTTTAATTCTGTTGAAGAATGGTTGGAAAGCAAAGTCTGACTTTCATTTATTCATTTTTATAGAACTTTTATTAATTATTTTGTCAGATTCCAGTTATTTCTGTCACCATTGTTG